GTAAAGGCTATGAGATGTCGCTCTTGCATTAGCACCCCTCCCAAACCAATACTGGATGCATCACACTCCACCACAAGGGTTTTAGAGAAGTTTGGTAATGCAAGGACTGGTGTGGTGGTCATGGCCACCTTGAGTGCTTCAAAAGCCTGCTCAACCTCACGGGACCAGAGAAATGAGTCTTTTTTAGCATATCAGTTAACGACTTGCTGATTTTTCCATATTCCTTCACAAATCTTCGATAATATCTCATCAAACCAATGAACCTGAGCAAGGCCTTGAGTATCTTTGGTTTAGGCCACTGAGTCATGCTGACACTCTTAGATGGATCAGCTACCACTCCATCACCTAAAATAATGTGGCCCAGATAATCGAGCTCACAGCGCCCAAACAGGCACTTGGAGCGCTTTACGAATAGTTTGTGTTCTATCAAGGGCACACCTCACATGTATTAAGTGGTCAGACCAGCAGGATCTATAGATCAAAATATCATCAAAAAATACTAAAATGAACTAGTGAAGATAGGGTCGAAATACCTTATTTATAAGCCCCCAAAAAGTGGATGGTGCATTTGTCAACCCAAACAACACCACCAGAAGCTCATATTGTCCTTCATGAGTGCGAAACGTCATTTTGTGCACATCATCTACATGCACCCAAATTTGGTGATAGCTGACCTAAGATCCAACTTTGTAGGAAAAACGAGCACCATGAAGCTCGTCTAAGAGCTCATCCACCACAGGAATTAGATATCTATCTTTGATGATGAGTCGGTTCAAAGCGCGGTAGTCAACACACATGCATCAGGAACCATCCCTATTTCGAACCACTAGGACCGGTGAGAAGTATGGGCTTGTACTAGGTCGAACAATACCAACTTCAAGTATTTCACATACAAGCCTTTCTATTTCATTCTTCTGCACATACGGGTATCAGTAAGGCCACACATTTGCAGGTTGGCTCCCAGGAAGCAAGGAAATCTAATGGTCATGGGTCCATTCTGGTGGTAGCCGCATATGTTCCATAAATATGTCTTCATACTCAGACAAGAGTGTATGTATTTCTGGATTGACAGCCCTTCATTTTTAGCTGCGGTCAGAGATAAAAGCTAAGCCAACACTCCTTTTCCCCCTTGCTAATGAGATTACCCATGCGAGATGGATCAATAAGGCATACTGCACCTTTTTGGGCCCCGTGTAAGGCGTGTTTCTTTCTGTCAAGGGTAAACTCCATTCGTAGTCAAGAGAATTCCTATAGTATGGGGCCCAATGTAACCAGCCATTATATTCTCAAGACCAAATCACATCCGCGGAGTGGGAACAACCACACATCTGCTTGGAAAGTTGGTGCCCTGCATCACCCATTTGAGATCCTTGTAGATCGCGTTGCTAATCAATTTGCCACCGTCAGCTATGGATACATCCAAGGGCGGGGCAGCTTACACTAGACAACCTTGGCAACTCCGGGTTCTAGAAAATTTTTCGTGCTTGCTAAATCTATAAGAACAACAATTTGTTGCCATTTGACGAGACACTGCACTCTCATAGTTTGGGTTGAATTTAACCCAGATATGGTATTCACAGAAACAATTGGGCCCTTCTCATTATCAGTGGGTTCATCTTCTTACTCAACATCACCCTCATCACCACTTTCATGGACAGTCTCAATATCTATGACATCAAGTAAGTATATTTGCTGCCTTTTGCAGCGGTGGCCCAAGGCATACTTTTGGTCACAATTGTAACACAGTGGCCGGTCCCTTCACGCTTTCATCTCAGCCAATTAGAGCCGTTTGATCGGTAGAAGCCCCAACGAAGTAGGTGGTTTAGCTGGTATGGAAACCACTTTTAGGATGCCGGTGCTAGCCAATGGGGCATTAGTTTTGGTCATCCCAAACCGTTGGCATTGGTTCAAGATATCAGCGTACTTTTCTTGTAGCCTCGCCAAGCCGATAGCTTTCATGACATTTGTAAGCCGAAACATCTGCACCCCTTGCCGTAGGTCCTCCCAAAGCCCGTTGATAAAACAACTAACACATAAGTCATCAGGAAGTCCCATTCTCCCGTTTGCCAATTGCTCGAATTGTTCTTAGTAGGCACTAACAGTGGTGGTTTGTTTTAGCTTGCAAAGCGCACCAGCGAAATCTTCATAAGGATTATGCCCAAACCTTTTGCACAAAGCATTGACAAACTCACTCCATGGTACTTGTCCAGTGGTCTTCTTGAACCAATGGAACCATTGAAGTGCCTTCCTCTCCAGATGGATGGAGGTCAGGGCCACTGTCTGGCCTTCTAGAATGTTGTTATATTAAAAAAACTGCTCCACCCTATCTACCCACCCCAAGGGTTCCTCTCCATCAAACCTTAAAAAATCAACTTTCGCATACGTTGTTGGGGCTGTTCCAGCAACCGTCATCATCCGCAATGGTGTAGCCATATTAGAGTCCCCCATTTCAGATTGATAATTGGCTAGAGATGCCGACAATGCATCATGCTTGAGATGAATGTCAGCCATCAACTGCCGAATTTCTTGGAAATTCTCACCATGCTTCTCATTGTTCTCTCTAATTTGTTTGAGCTCCATCTCAAATCTCTTGGCCTCTTGTTGTCGAGTTCCATCTGCCATGATTTCTCACCATAGGTTCAAGGTTTGCTCTGATACCAAATGATAATGATCAAACAATTTTTTGAAGAAGATAACAAGAAAAACCACTAAATTCCATCTTCCAGGAGGGCAACCTCAATTTCCAACAAGAAAGAAGAGAGTATTTTTCATTAACTTTTTGAAATCTATGTACAACCCTTTTGTCCTCTCTCTACAGCTATCAAATCTTCCTAAAATTCAGTTAGCAACTATTAAAGAAACTATCCTAACAAATAGGTCTTCTATAATAATAACTAACATGACTCTTACCATAATAAAAATAACAAATTAAATTAATTCAAAATAAGAAACTAACATGACTCTTACCATTTAGGCATTGATACTTATTCAAAGCAAAAAACTGACTGACTCCTACCATTTGATGCATATTTAACCTTATCCAAACGGGCACCTAACACACACTCTCTTTCTCTTCTTTTCTGTTTTTTTGGACAAAATAGCACCTCTCTCTCTCTCTCTC